ATTAGAATTCAGTCCCACAGACACCTTGAGTCATCGTCCCCTGGGCCCATCCCCTGGGCCGGTTGAAGAGTGGGGGTGGGGGCTGGGGCTGGGTCTTCATGGAGCGGTGAAGCTCAATTAAGTGTCATTACCTGAAGAGAGTTTCTGCTGGATCAGAACCATGCCCTGCCCTGCCACATCTTCCTCATCCTCTTCCACCCCACACCACACGGAAATTGGAGGAGCTGAGGCTGAGGTATCAGGTGGGGCATCATGCGCGACAGGTGGACACTAGGAGAGCTGACCGGCAGATGGAAGGGCAGGCAGGCAGGTGAACAGGGAGACAGCAGAGGAGACAGAGAGACTGGCAAACAGGTGAGGAGGGATCAGATGAAGGCAGTGAGGGAGTGGCCTGGGGGAAAGGGGGCAGAAGAGGGGGCAGAGGTGGGAGCACGGACGGGGTGAGTTCAGATACCCCACCTTTCTTGGCAGACCTTGGACGCAGCCCACCATGAGGCTCAGCATCTTCTTGTTCCTGTGTATTGTGGGTGAGTTTTCTGAGCCAGGGCGGGGTGGGGAGTGGCGGGGAAAGAGCCGTGGCCGTTCCTTCCCTCATGGTAAAATCCTATGCATCCCCCACCCCAAACCTGGTACTGAGGATGGGGGAAGAAGCCAAGCCTGCTTCGGTGTCTCGCTGCATGGGTGGGTCTGTGGCACTGACCAGCTCTCTCTTCTTCATCTCCCATCTTCTTGTTTTTTTTTTGTTTTTCTGAAGCCTGTGACAGACCCCACACACACACACTGGCCTCAGCCTCCAGAGAGCTGAGGTGACAGGCATGCAGCCTCACACACACTCAGCGGCTGTCTCCTCTCCTCCTCCCACCCACAATCTTCATGTCTAACCCCATTTCTCTGGCCTACCCCTGACCTCAGGTCTCAGTCAGGCTGACAGCGTGAAGATCTTTAATGGTGCTGAGTGTGTGAAGAACTCACAGCCTTGGCAGGTGGGGCTGTTCCATGGCAAATACCTGCGCTGTGGTGGCGTCCTTGTGGATCGCAAGTGGGTCCTTACAGCTGCTCACTGCAGTGGCAAGTAAGCCTCCCCTTGGGGGAGCTCAGGGAGAGCAAAGCAGGGTACCAGAGGGAGAGTAGGTCTCCCTTGATGGTGTCAGGTGTCACAGGCTAGGAGGAGTCAGTCAGCTTTGGGTTAGAGGTGCAGAAGAACTTCCTGAAGTGGGCCTGGAGCTGCCAGGTGGGATGAGGTGTGCTGGGCATGGAGGACCTGGGATGGTGCCTCTGTTCCTCTCCCATTTCCTCCTCCTTTCCCATACAGCCTCGGGCATCTCCTGACCCCAGTTAGACTCAGGGTGTCACTAAACTTGAGTCACAAACTGTACCCCAAGAAGCCAAGTTCAGCCACCCTTACGTGAGAAGCCAATTAAAACAGACAAATTAACAATAGAAAAGAGATTTATTCATTGTGGCCCTATCAGGAAGAGGCAAATAGGTCAGTGACCCCTCCAGTCCATCTCAGGCTCCTGACGTGAGATTCGAGTGCTGATAGGGGCTAGCGATATGCAATCTAAGCCGTCCAAGCTGTGCTGGCCGCCATTGACCCATGGCTGTCCGGGCCTCAATCGTCAGGTGTCTGACAAGCGTGAAATCGGGAGACAAGTCGCCCTCTGGTTGGCACCTTTCCCCAGCATGAGATTCCTAAGGGGACATCCCCATTCCTTTGGGTCCATTATTCCACCACTCTGACAGAGACACTAAACAGCACCCTGAGCCATCTCCACAGATCCCAGATGATCCATTTTCTGGGTCTAGACTTTGCTGTGAAAGAGGAGCCGGGTGTCAAGGGACCAAGAGGCTCCATGCAGGACAGGTGTACCCCTTGCTCAGTCAGCAGCCCTGGTAACATTGCTGGAATGGGCTATGGGGACAAATATGGCAGCTGCCCCATGACCCCAGCTGTGAAAGAGCAGTGGAGAGAGACCATGAAGTAGAAGACTAACCCAACATGCATAGATGATGGGGTACAGAAACCTATGGCGAGAGAAAGATACAGACAGAGACAGGTAAGGGGTGGCCTATCTGCCACCCACTGACCAACTGCACCCTCAGGTACTTGGTGCGCCTTGGGGAGCACAGCCTCACCAGACTGGACTGGACAGAGCAGCTGAGGCTCACCACCTTCTCCATGACACACCCCGGCTACAAGGGTGTCCATCAGAACCACGAGCATGATCTTCGACTCCTGCGACTGGGCAGACCTGTCCGCCTGACCCATGCTGTCCGGCCCCTGGCCCTGCCCACTTCCTGTGCACCTATGGGGACCAAGTGTCATATTTCAGGATGGGGTATCACAAACAAGCCGTGGGGTAAGAGGGTCCTGAGGTTGGGGATAAGAAGTATAGGGTAAGAAGTCAAGTCGTTCACTTCAGAGCATGGCGATGGGGTTAAACACCAGGGGCAAGGGTCAAGGTAGGTGGGAGTCAGAAGCCAGGGGTCAGAGGTCAGAGTAATTGCCAGGGGTTATCAGGAGATCTGACCCATGGGCTTGGGTGTCAGAGGTCATAACAGAGCTGGTACCTGCTAGTCCTCTAATCCCAGGTCCTCTGGAGGCTACAGTAAGAGGGGAAAAAGTTCAAGGCCAGCCTCTTTTACAGAACAGGAGCCTGTCTCAAATTAAGATAACAGTGTCTGTAGATGTGACTCAGTGGTGGAACCCAGAGGACCTAGGTTCTGTCTCTACCAGGGATGGGAAGCTGAGGTCGCTGAATCACAGTCTGATCGGAATCTTTCTCTTGTCACATTAGGGAGTCATAGGGTCATAGGAATCTGGGGTCAAATGTCCTGAAATCAGAAGACTTTTTTTGTTGAGATGAAGTAAGCAAAAATTTGGAAGCTGTGGAACTGGGGTCAGAGGTTAATGTGTTCAGGAGGTGGAAGATATGAAGTGAGATTGGGATCAAGAAGTGATGAGGTCAAAGGACCAGGCCTCTGGCCTGGGGATAGGGTCACCACAGTTCTCTTTCATGAAACTGAGAATGTTTAGGATGGTAGTGAGGTTGGGTGGAGGCATAGTTTGGATCAAATGTCCTTGGGAAGAATGCAGCCTCAAGGTAGGGATCTCAGAGGGTCTACATCACCCATCTCTATCCCCAGACCCGTTCCCAGACCGGCTCCAATGCCTCGACCTCTCCATTGTCTCCAATGCCACATGCCAAGCCGTGTTCCCTGGAAGAGTGACAGAGAATATGGTATGTGCAGGTGGCGAAGCCGGGAAGGACGCCTGCCAGGTGAACCAACTCAGGGTGATGTTGACCACTGGGGACAGAAAGTAGGTGATGGAGAAAGGAAGGAAGGTGAACGGTTTGGGGGGTGGCTCAAGAGGGACACTGAGGCAGACTGGAGGCAGAGTACGGAGTTTTTAGTAGAGTTCTTAATGCCATAAACAGACAGAGAGACAACAACATGGCAGGGGCTCTGAGCACTGGAGACAGAGAGCATGATGGGACTCTGAGGAGGAACCAGAGTCCACATGGCAAACGAAGAGGGTGTTTGTTTTTTTTTGGTTTTTTTTTTTTGTTTTGTTTTTATCTTTTTTTGAGAGTGGGAAAGGTTTCACAGTAAGCCCCTACAGCCAGGCTCTCTGGTACCCAGGCAGGAGGCAGGGGAGGGCAGGGCAGCGGACGCGTGTATGGCCACCAATACTCACTTGGACTTCCAGGTGAGGGATCCTGGGACCTGGAACTCTGCTAGCCAGGGCCTAGAAGACAGTGTCTTTGTAGAATGCCTGTTGTTGTCTGTGAGAGGGAAAGAGGAGGCTTGAACAGCAGCTGGATTCTAACTTCACTCTACAGAAGTGTGGAAAAGTAGGCAAAGTCCCAGACACGGGCTATGGAAGAGATGGGACTAAAAAGGAGAGGAGACAGCCTAAAAGAGGAAGAGACAGGGGATAGGAGGGAGGATCCCAGAATGGAGGAGCAGGAGGCTGTAAAGAAGGAGGGCAAAACAGTCAGGCTGTGGCGAGCAGAGAACTAGCCAGGATGGGGTCTGTCAGGGCCCCTTTGCTGGCACCTCAAGGCTTTCTCCACACCATCAAGCAGCTGGGGTTACCCCATGTTTAAAGAGAGGGGGGTTGGGAAAAGAAGGTCACAAAACCAGCTGTGCCAGTGTGTGGCGCGACACGACATCCTTGGTCTTGAGCACCTCAGAGGAGGGCACTGTATCACAGTGCCCAGAGCCAACCACCCTCAGGGCACCTCAGAGGAGGCCACTGTATCATAGTGCCCAGAGACCAACCACCCTCAGGGCACCTCAGAGGAGGCCACTGTATCATAGCGCCCAGAGACCAACCACCCCCTTGGAGCACTCTATTCTCAAACTCTAGGCCGCCCCCCTTTTCTGGGGTTGGGCCTATTGGCCCCAGTGAGGTGGCATCTTCCTTTCTATTTGGCTAGCTGTTACAGTGTTCTTCCTGTGAACTATGCGTGCTCCCTTCTCCCAGGACGTGGCTTGGAGCCTCTTCTTGACGTAGCTGTCTCGCTTCTGTCTTCTAGGGTGACTCTGGAGGCCCCCTGGTGTGTAGAGGGGTTCTTCAAGGTCTGGTTTCCTGGGGATCTGTTGGGCCTTGTGGACAAAAAGGCATTCCAGGGGTCTATACCAAGGTCTGCAAATACGTGCCCTGGATCAGAAAGGTCATGAAGAACAATTAACAGAACCATGTGGTTCTGCCCAGGGGCCTCTGACACTCTGACACCCGTGTCTTCCCTCTCACCACTCCAAGTCCCACCCTCGTTGGTGTAGAGAGCCTTCTGAGAGCCCGATGGTGGAGCAAAGGCTGTGGAACCCTGGAATAAACATTATGCAATCGAGGGAAGGGGCTACACCTGTCTGTTTAATGTACCATTTAAGCCTGGAGGAAACCAGGAAGGGTGGGAGCTTTTGCTGGGCTTGGTTGCAGAGGTCTGTACTCTTGACTCTCAGGAGAAAGAGATGAAGAAGATAAGTTCAAGGTCATCCTGGAATACACAGTAAGTTTGAGGCCATTCTGGTTTTCATGAGACCCTGTCTCAAAAGCAAACAGGCCAGGCCTGGTGGTGGAGTCTTTAGTCCCCGCCCTTGGCAGGCAGCTTTCTGAGTTTGAGGCCAGCATGGTTTACAGAGTGAGCTCTAGGCCAGACAGAGCTACATAGTGAGAATCTGTTTCAAAAATCAAAGCTTTTGGTCTTAATTTTTAAATTATTATCTTCTTTATCTTACGGTTACGGGTATTTTTCTGCATGTATGTCTGTGCACCGTCTGTATGCCTGGTGCCCACTGAAGCCAGAAGACATTGGATCCCCCGGAACTGAAGTTACACACAGCTGTGAGTCACTGTGTGGTTGCTGGGAATCGAATCAAGATCCTTTAGGAAGAGTAGCCAGTGCTCTTAACCATGGAACCATTTCTCTAGCCCCAACTTCTAGCTTTCTAATGAACTGGATATAAATGACCAGCGTGGGGGTGGCATGTTAGCCTGACTGCACATCGAGAACGGAATGCCAGTCTGGCTCACTATGTCAGAGATGGTCCAGGCTGCCTCACTATGTCAGAGATGATGGTCCAGGCTGCCTCACTATGTCAGAGATGATGGTCCAGGCGGCCTCACTATGTCAGAGATGATGGTCCAGGCTGGCTCTGGGGACAAGACACCCCAGCTGAAGCAGCACAAGGCTGTGCCCGCCCATAGGTGCTGTCTCCACATTCTCTTCAGGAGGCAGAAACGAAGGCCTTGCTCAAAAATGCCAAAGAGGGGAGCTGCTGTGCTGATCGAAAAGCACAGGGGTGGCCTTTCCCAGCATCCTCTTGGCATTTGATCCCCCACTCCACCCCAAGGCAGGGCCGGCACCCCTATGCCACAGATTAGGGAGCTGAACTTCCCTGGGTGGGGCCGCCCGTCAACGTCACCTGGGTAGGAAGAGGCAGAGCCCGTAGGGTTTGAGGCCACGGTGGTTGGCTGCCGGCAGAACCTGGGCCTACTCCGCCTTGCCCCACATCTGGTTAGGGGAGAGAGGAGAGGAAGGCCCGGGAAAGAAAGATCTGAATGAAAACATAAGCTGGGAGAAGCGAGGCTTCAAACCTGGGGCTATCCGATGAGGAGGCCCAGGAGGCTGACGAGTGACTGGAGATTTTCTACAGTACCCAGTAAGTGCTGGAAGCCTGGGCAGTGGAGGCTGGGGAGAGGAGGGAAGGGTCAGTAGGGAATGGAGGCCCACACAGGAGCCCGGGGGGGGGGGCTGGCACACGTGCTGAGGTTTCTTCCTCCCTTCTTGAGCCATGGCTGTCACAGGCCCTGACCTGCCTCCCCCACCATCTGTCCTGCTCCTTCACCTGGCAAGCAGCCCCAACTCTGTGACGCCCCAGATTCCCCCCTTCTCTCTTTGGAAAGGACAAGGGAGGGCCCAAGGGAGGCCAAGGACCCCACTGGGCCCAGGCTGTGAGAAAGGAGAGGCCCGCAGGAGGAGAGGCAGAAATGGAGGCCTCGGAGAGGACACAGAGACAGGCAGACAGAGATCTAGAGAGGGATGGGACAGGACAAAGAGCTGAGACAAGAGGAGACAAGGATCCAAAGACATGCAGGGGCGAAAACCTAGTGGCAGAGAGACCAAAATCATACACAGTTTTATAGGAAAGGAGAGGGGGCAGGGAGGTTCTGAGACTTGGGAATTGCTGGAAAGGAGACGTGGCCACTGCGGAGAGATGGGCTTGGAGAGGTCATATCCTGTCTCCCAGACCCCAAGGCTGCCTTGGGAGGACACACACACACACACACACACACCTTCCCCAGGGCGATAAAGCAGGGCTAGGAGCCCAGTCATCCTGGGCCTGCCTAGGGCCAACCCCCTGCCTGCCTGCCTGTCTGCCTGCTGCTCAGACCCAAACTGCTGCAGCTGCCACCTCTGGCCTCTTTAGAGCCCTATCTCCAGAGCCCATGAGTGAGTCAGGAGGGAAGGGACGGTTCCCCCCACCCCCTGCCCAACCCATTCCAAGAGACTGCCATCCTAGAAGCTAGGCCTCTTCTGTCCCAGCATGCATTTCCACCTCTGGTCTGTCCTTGGAGGATGAGACCACTCTCTGCATCTCTCTGTATCTCTCACCATCAAACTGCTGCCCCCAAACTCCATGACCTCTGTCCCCAATTTAGGTGGCCGAGTCCTGCCCTTCTCTCCCACCCCCGCCAGCCAGGGCAGCCATAGGCACTGGCTGTCACTTAGCCAACTCCACCCAGCCCTGTCCAGCTGTCCTTCACAGGGGTTCGGCAAGGTGGAGAGAGGGACTTCACCAGTAGCAGAAAGACCCCACAGGCCCCTAGCACTGCTGTTGGGATTACCAAAA